TTTTGTGTCAGCTCTATGCTGCACTCATATACAGTAGTCCAGCTAATCGTCGCAAGGATTTTGCAAACCTTTGCCGGAAAGGCCCAAGGCTTGTTGCTTTTGAATTTCGGGTCTATGTCGTTTGCAGCTTGCTCTGTTTATGGAGCTGAAGGCATCATTACAGACATTGATGGAGCTAGAGGTTGAGGGTTTGGACGAATTGGAGAAATGTATACTTATGTTCAACAGCCAGAGTATACATGCGAATTACGGCTGTCTGGACGACCTCAGAGAGACGCATAATGGTTCCGACGTTCCGGATCTTCCTGTTTGCTAGAACAAATTCGTGACTGTGAGGACCATGCCACCAAATCAAACTTGAACATGCCATTATCAATTGTCTGCTCTCGAGATTCAGAAGTGTTTCTCTTCCTATACGGAACTCCCATCTTTGCATGTGCTAAGCACAACAACAATAACAACACATAAACATAACTTAGTTTAACCTCAACTTCAAGAACTCCAACTGTTACTCACTTGCACCCTGCCCTACAAACGGCTCCTGCACAATCGCTGCACCACTCGACGATTCGCCAAACACAACTTCCGACACGATCGCATTCTCCTCAACGACCGTCCTGCAGCCAACACAGAAACCGTTGCCTCCCGCTGCATCGTATTCTATGTGATCGTTCCACCACAGTCACCACACACTGTCTGTTCGAATTCATTTCAGCATTGTCATTCACAAGTAAAAGAAGCTTTTAGGGAAATATACCATTTTCAGTCAATAAAAATTTAATAAAGATAAGCTGGGGTATCTGAGAGAACAGAGGGAGAAGGAGATGTGATAAAGTCGGTGTATGCGTGGGAAACACCTAACGCATTTTGATTCAGCTGCCACTTCGCCAAACTTTAACATTAACTCGTCCCTTCATTCCGCTACACAAAAAAAACACACTATTAACGTTTTTTGAGGATTAGCGTTAGCCCCTGATGGCACACGAGTCAAGACAAACAAAGGCAAAAACAAGCTCAAGAGCAATAAACTCGAACGGTACGTTTTTTTCTCTCACTTCTCACCGTTCCGAAGTAACTTGCTTACGTTGACCAAACCAGTCTTCAATCGATTTCGGCTGCATCCGCTGCGAAAAAACTTCAAAAGTCTCGCGTGGAAGTTCATAGATCGATATCGCTACCAGTGTACCATTAAAAGCGCTCAGGGGTGGTGTTTTTGCGATGTTTCTCGTCAACATCCATCTTTTTGCATCCTTTGGCCTCTCAGTGAAGCCCACTGAGACAATGAACGTTCAATCCGTCCATTCGTTCGTAAGTCCACTTTCCTTTCGCATCCTAGTTCAACACATTAATAAGGATTTAGGATGAGCGTGCTAGAGCTTTCCAAGTTATCCTCTGTGCGACTATTCAAGGGCGAGCCCACCTCGTTCTTGTCTCTGACTGGTCCAAAACCAGCGCTAGCCGATTGCGTACTTGACGAAAAATCGGAATTCTGCAAACCTGGTAACTTGCTGAGCTGTTGTGCAGGACCTTCCCTCCCGTCGGATCTTAAGCTCGGTTCCATGAGTCACCATATGGTAGGCTTCAGTGATTCCGTGACATCGCCTTGTCGGTGAGCGACGTCAGCAATAGGATTAGCATATTATTGTACTGAATTCATTTTATCAGTCCGAATGCTTATGAGTTTCCAATAATTTTCGCATTCATCGCGACTGTAGCTTGCCCCGGTGAAGAGATCCCTTGCGGCATTGAAACAGAGCGAGTCCATCCGTGAGTGGCGTTTCATTCCCTATCCCGGTAGTGTGTTTATTAAATATGAATAGAAGATGTGCACTCCAGGTGTCTTTGACTAATCTTCTCACCTTCCGCGGAAGTGTACGGATCTTCTAACTTGGAGAATTTCTGGGATGGCTGAGACTCTCTATTGTTGTCTCGCATATAATCTTGGTGTCCGTTTCTGAAGGGCACTTCAAGCAACCGGATTATGATGAGGCTTGACTGATCTCGAAAGATCAGCAAGCCAAAAGCTGACGCCGAATTTGGCATCGCTTTTATATTATTACATGGAGAAGGAAGCCATGGCCGTACAGGAAGTGTGAAATAGAGAGAAAATAAAGAGGAAACAAGAGATACAATACAGAAACAAGTTCAAGTACAGAGCGGGCCGAGAGCAAGCACTCGCGGAAGGACGAGGAAGGAGCTAGGGTGCGGTCGCGGAAGCGGGACAGCGGAAAGCAGAGACAAACGTGCCGAAAGTAATGAAGGGCTATCACCGACGTTGTTGTATGGACTCCCGACAATATCGTTCAACTCGCTGTTGCATCGGAGGACGCTGTCGAGTTGCTGATATACACTTCGGAAGACTCGGACAAACGGCGGTTAGCGTTGGATGGGCATTATCCAGCAGGAGCAGACGCTCAGCTGACGATGGTCGATTCCGAAGGTAGTGGACACATTACCGACATCCCGGACTAAAAAGAAGACAGACACAAGAAGCCAGGAGGACGAGATGGCCCTCTTTGCGGTTCGTTACCATAATCGAGGTGTGGAATGATCTCTTGATCGTACGCATTTTCCTCTGGACGGCTGTCGAGATGAACGATACAAATACGAGACCTCTAGGCTTGGTTGGATACGTTCGTGACGCTGAAGACTGTATGGAGCCGCTTCTTTTGGTGACATCCATATGAACTATCTAGCGCTTTCTGTCTCCTCACCACGCTAGGGAGTTGAAAGTCTTGAGACGGAGTGTGACGGAGGAAGAGATGGAGGGCTGGGAGCCCTTGATCTTCTTCTGTCAACGGGGATGGAAGGAACCAAGACATCGTCCTCGCCTTCGTCCTCGTCCTCACCCTCATCCCGAACGTCCATCAATTCGTCCGGTGGCTCCGCTTCCTCCATCGTTCCCGGAAGAACGATCACAAGGGATCTATCAACCGATTGGACGTCCACTGATTGGGCCCGCGGCGTTCCTACGGGCGTTGAGCCGACCGATTCGTTTCTATCCCGATGGGACCCGTCACGTCCAGTCGTCAACTCCGGCGTACTCCAGTTACTGTCAAATCGGAACGTGTCCTCGGTTGCCAGTTCGTATTCTGGCATCAGCAGACTCCAATCCCGAGGCGGAGGAGTATCCCAGAGGTAAACTTCCCTCTTCATCTTCTGTTTTATGAGAGTGAAGTCTACCTCAATTTTCTAGTGTATCCTCTAAAGTCGGTCGTTCTGATGCACGATCTGAGATGGCGACCTCGTCCGTCCTGTTTCCCTCGT